GGTTTGGGTCTTTTTGGAGAAGGTCAATATACAAAAAACTATGTGGTTCGTCAGTAGCAGTTTCATATAAATCATAAATTACTTTCTTGCTTTCGTGTAAGTTGTTTCTTCTAACAATTGCTGATAGTTCATCTTGTAGCAACTCAATTTCTTTAAAATTTCTCACTTTATAAAAGAACAAATGTGTAGCATTTACTCTAATTAATGGTGGTATTGTATTAAATTTCTGAATACTTGTTATTACTGATATACCGTTATGGCGTCCTCTTACATACAATGAGTTTAACAGTTTGTTATGTCTCGCCACCTTAGGGTCATCACTTATATCATCCAAAATAACCAATATGGAAAACAATTTTCTTAATTTGTTTCTTTTACTATATTCTGTTATTTTGTGTTGTGTCTCTATCACTTGTTCTAAATCTTCTGCCTTAAACTCTTCAAATAAGTAAGGTTCTTTTTCATTATCCACCTTCATTTCTTCTTTTATATATTTTTTAACGGGCAACCACACACTATCAACATTGATTGAAGGAGACCAAATATATATTCTTTCAAAACAGTTTTTGTATATATCAAGTATCATATTAATCAATAAAACTGTTTTACCGCTTCCTGACGGTCCAGTTATGATACTTCTGAATGGCAATTTAGGGACGACCTCATGCTTACTTTGCTTAAAGTCATATTTGATTTCATCAATTGGTTTTACATCAGGCATAATAAAAATAATATTAAAGACATTTAGAAAATAATTTAATATTTATTATTTTATATGGATAGAAGTTATTCAGATTATATTGATATAATAGATAAAGTAGAAAATATAGAACAAGTAATAATAACCGATAATAGATTTAAGAAAGTATGCTATTTTGTTTTAGAATTAATTAAGTTTGTGATACAATATATTAAAAATATAAATATTAATATAGATGGGGAGAAAGAAAAAGAATAAGACAGAATCAGTTGTTTCTTCAACTGATGAAGAAAAAGAAGAAATTGTTAAAGAAACATCAGTTATTGAGTTTGCTTGTCCAATGTGTAAAAAGATGTTAGAATTAAAAAATGAATTAGAAATACAAAAGAAAGGAACTTGTAAATGTTCGTTTATTCCGACAAGTTTCAAAATAAGTAAGAATGATAAGAAAATGAATATTGATAAAACTAAAGACAGTATAAATCTGGAAACAGATGTTCATAATATTGCTATACACTTTGGGAGGGGGGTTATTCCATCCGAGAATGGCGATAGGGAAACACAGGAAACTATACGCGAAATGATGAAAAAATAATAGTTAAAATTATTTCTATTATTATTTATAATGCAAGATGGTATAAATAATATTCTTAAATTCATTGATGTAAAAGAATTGAAGTTAAATAATTTTATTGAAGAATATAACGAAAATGATATATTAATTAATTTTGTTAATGACTTTAGAAATAGCAAAATTGATTTTAACATGTTTTATAATTCTATTAATTATGCTGATTTATTTGAACAATCAGATTTAAAATTTTATTGTAAAAGAATATATTCATATACTTTAAGATTTATTGCTAATTATGATAATAAAAATGCTATTCAGTTTTATGAAATTACATTGAGAAAAATGAATAATATTTACAAAAATAGTAACATTAATGTTGTTAATGTGTTTGAATGTATTAAATGTTTAATAATTTATATTACAGATAATATTGAAAAGTTTCATAAATATTCAAAATTTAGAAAAACTATTATTTGTAATTTAATTGGTAAATTGAATAATAATTTAACGAGTTACACAATAACTAATTTTGAATTGACTTATAATGATATATGATTTTGTAAAATAAAAGTTTAGTTTTAAAAGTTTTATTTTATAATATAATATATATATTTACATGGATGAAGGATTAGAAAAGATTGTTAAAAAACTGAACAAGGTTTTAGAACAGAATAAGAATATTTTAGAAATCTTGCAAGAAATGGAAAAGAAGAAACCATTAACAAACAGTTATCAAAGTAAAGAAGTAGATAGAACCAATGCTGAATATAAAAATAAGAAACAAACGTATTTAAACAAACTTAATAACAAAGAAATTAAAGAACCGAAGGCTTCAACTATGACATTTTATCAAATCGACTATGATGAAGATACAGGGGTTTATTCATAAAGTTGCATTTACTCATAGATAATATTATCTAAATATCTTTAATAATGAACTTATTAGAGATGTTTAGCGGAACAGGCAGTGTTGGACTTGTTGCAAAGTCGCTCGGTTTCAATGTTATTTCATTGGATTTGAAAAATGCTGATATAAATACTGATATTTTGAAATGGGATTATAAACAATTTGATAGGAACCATTTTGATTTTATCTGGGCAAGTCCTCCATGCACTGAATATAGTGTAGCAAAAACTAGGGGCATTAGGAATATCGAATATGCAAATAGTATTGTCTTAAAAACTATTGAAATTATCAAATATTTCAATCCTAAGTATTTTGTAATCGAAAATCCACAAACTGGATTATTAAAAAATCAGGAGTTTATGGATGAGTTTGATTTTAAAGATGTAGATTATTGTAAATATGGAATGCCTTACAGAAAACGCACTAGGCTATGGAATAACATTACAACTTGGAAACCTAAAGATTTATGTAAAAAGGATTGTGACAACATCAGGAATAATAAACATATTGAAACAGCACAACGGCTACCATCGGGCACTAAGGAAAAATGGGGGGACAATCCAATAATACATAAACAGGAAGATTTATATAAACTACCTAGCGAATTAATTAGTGAAATCTTGGTGAGTTTGAATTAGGGTGGTTCATCACAACATCCACCATCATTGCATTCATCGCGGATGAGGCGAAGCCTTTAAGGGGGACGCGCTCACACCAGAAAAGAACCAAACACACCCACACCCCAAAAACCGCCGAGAGGGAAATCCGGATGGAAGCACAAACAAAGACGAAAGCCACATTTAAGATGCTGAAACTGACATGCTGGATGCTGAAACTGACATGCTGGATGTTGAATCTGACATGCTGGGTGCATGCTGGATGCTGAAACTGACATGCTGGACGCTGAATCTGACATGCTGGATGCTAGATTTGAGCTGTGGGATGGTGCATTCCATCACACATGACCCTTGTGTGATACATCCTAGTCTGACATCTGCACATTCTGCAACTGCGCCGTGAAAATTGTATAAATTGGAGAGATAATCAAACTTTAATCAAATGTGTGTTGAGAATAAAAGGAAGACATAATATAAATGTAGAAGATGATATTTTAATATTTCTAACTGTAAATAAAATACCACCTTATGATTATGTTAAACAGTTTCTTAAAATTAGTAAGAAAAATATGAAATGATGGATGATATATTATGGTTGTTGTGTTATAGTCAAGATAAAGGAGAAGATGTTAAAGAAAATATCAAATTATTTATTGAAAGTAAAAAGTTTAATGTTCAGAATACATTGAGAGATATTAATATTATTTTTAAAATGATGTATGAAAGAAGAAAGATTTGTCAATTAAATTATTATCCTGTACTGAAATTATAATCATACTATAATAATAACATGTAAAATCTTATATGTTATAATTATACTGTACTTATAGTTTGTAAAGATTGAAATATTTCATTTTTCCTTGATTTGGCTGACTCTTTCAAAGTGCGTTGTTTGAACTTGGTATGCTCTTTTGATTTTTTCGTGCTTTGGCTGTTTGTTTTTTATTTTGTTTGATACTCTTCTGATATTTTTTGATGGTATGTTGCTTTGTTTTTGATTTTGTGTGTTTTTGAGTTTGTGTTCTTTGATGGTTTTTATTTTTGCTGTTTTGTTGGTATGCTTGTTTGAATTATTTAATGTTTTATGCTTTGATTAAATATTTTGTTGGGGGTTGTTCTGGTTTTTGAGTTGCTTGGTGGTTCTTATCTTGTTTTCTGTGAATTTTGCTGATTTTGTTGTATGCTGTTTGAATATTTGGTTTTAGTGTTACAAATGCCGTTTTATGTATTTTTGGGGTGGGGTGGGGTGGGGTGGGGTGGGGTGGGGTGGGGTGGGGTGGGGTGGGGTGGGGTGGGGTGGGGTGGGGTGGGGTGGGGTGGGGTGGGGTGGGGTGGGGTGGGGTGGGGTGGGGTGGGGCGGGTGGGATGGGCGAGGGTTTGGGTTGGTGTGGGCGTGGTGGGTGGGGGTGGGTTTGGGTGGGTGTGGGTGTGGTGGGTGGAGGTGTGTGGCGGGTACGGCAAAGCGGGGACCTTTTTTTGGAAGGAAACGGACGCCGAAAACAATCCACACACCTGGACGACAGGGGGTTGGACATTTTGCAGCGATTGAGTTGCATTTGAGCTTCTGTTTGCATTTATGCTTCTCCTCGGTCTTGGGCTTGCGCTTGTGTTGGTTTCCCCCTTTCAGTTTATGGTTGTCTTTGTGGTTGTGGTTGTGTTCATGTGGTTACAGTGTAGAGGGGCTCTGCGTGCTCGTTTTGTTTGAATGTTGTTATGTGCATTCATGTCTGTTGCGTGTCAAAGCTTTGTGTGCCTGTGGATTGATTGGAGAACGTTGTTTCCGGTTGGATGGTTTGCAGCTTAAACTGAATGTGCGGGGGTACGGTTGGTTGCTTGGATGGTTGGTTGGTTGGTTGGTTAGTTGGTTGGTTGGTTGGTTGGTTGGTTGGTTGGCGCCGCGGTAGGAAAAAGGTTTGGGATGGGTTCAGGTAGGTTTCGGGTAGGGTTGGTTAAGGCCCGGTATCGTTTTAACATCCTCAGCATCGTTTCCAACATCCTCAGCATCACCAGGCTTTGGTTTAGCCCCAAACCTTTGTCCGTTAGTGATTCACCAAGGGTGAAGGTTAGAACGTCTTAGCTTACAGTAGCTTTGCCAGACTTACCGTTGATGCTGAAGACTTTGCTTATCAGTGCCGCCTTTACAAGGGGAAAACGCTTTACGGCGGCCAAAAAATTCAGTTTTGCGAAGGTTTTGCCGCGCAGGAGCTGGGAGCCTTGCGCCGGAAGGTGGACCCGTTGCCGGACTGGTGTCAGGTGCTGCCCCTGGGGGCTGGTGGTGGAGAAGCCAAGCTGTCGCCCTTCTGCCCTCTTGGGTTTCTCTCACTTTCCCGTTTAACCAGCGAGCGCAGTGCTTACTTTTTGCCCGGGGGGGGGGGTGGTCGGTTCCTTTTTCGGTTCTTTGCTGGTTGTCTACTCTCTTGTCCAAACGGATCTCTCCAAGTAATTAGGTCGACTCCAGGAAAATCATTATGGCATCCAGAAAGAGGGCCCCACAAAACAGGACTGGGATTCCTCTAAAGAAGATGCTTTTTGGGAGTTCCGAAACAAGAGGACGCACAAAGATAAAACTCATCGCATGGAAGGAACGCTGTCGTGACGTTGTCTCTCAGCTGGCAAAGCCGAAGGGGAGCAAAAACATGGCTGTGGTTTCAATCAAAACAGCGCAAGCGCTCGAGATCCGGTTTACCTCCCAGCCAGCTGCGCTCGAGATCCAACTGAATACGCTCGCACGCTGGCGCATGACTCGTCAAGCTGAGAGGTGTCCTTGCGGAGCAAAATTTATCGTCAGCATCAGCATGGAAGGCTTCCCCGTCGGTGTGCTTCACCTCCCACGTCCCTGCGCGAGAGAGAATGGATTGTGTTCAACAAATTGGGCGTTCACCTGTTGGTGTCTCCTTGGATGATCTCTCTTGCCTTCTGTGCCCCGAAAAGATATCACATTCATGCCACCCTTGATTTCCCCCATGACCTCAGGAAGGCAATTTCGAGCATAACCGGAATCAAAGCAATCCAATGCACCACCGTGGGTGTCATTGTCAACACATTGGGGCCCTTAGGGATTCCTAAGAGCCAAAATGACCAAACCCATATTGGTGTTTCCCAAAGCGCCAAATCAGCAAGCACATTGAGCACTCCAAGGTAGTGAATATATACTGTACCAGAGCCTCAATAATTTCACTGACCTGGGTTCTCATGGTTCTGACTTTCATTCGTGTGTGTGTGTGTGTTTTCCCCATAGCCCATTCTTGCACGTATAAATGTTGAATCAGATTGAATTATGCATATTCTCCTCCCATGCCCATGTCTTACACACACACACACATGGTTGTGGCTCAACAAAATGTACCAAAATGGTGGGTTCCTTTGTAAATGGAACAACTAAAACCTGCGGTTTGCCCTAGCTCTTGAATTTGAGCCGCACCAGGGTTCCATTTTGGTACCTGTTGTTTGAGCCACACCCACATCCGTGTTTTTTTTTGGCTAGATCCCCCACTAATGCCCTGTTACCCTTTTTGGGGGGAGGGTTCCCGTACTAAAATAGACTACAGAAAAGAGGGTAGCCTTATTCTAACCTCTCTACTGCAGGACCTAGTTGACATTTCGCAGAAGTTGCGACCATGGCTGGCCGGCTCAGCAGGTGGCAGAGGTGCAGCTGGCCGAGCTTGCGCAAAAGGCCCAGGCGGCGGGCGGTTTTTGGGGCTCTGGTGTTTTGTTGGTGTGTTCAGGTGTGTCTTGTGTTCAGGTGCTGGCTTGTTGGTTTGTTCAGGTATTTTGTTGGTTTTGTTGGTTCTCTTGGTTTTGTGGGTGTTGTTGGTTTTGTTTTGTTGCTTGTCTTTTTAGATGCCCTCTTGGATGAGGTGTTGTTGCCTTGTTCTAGGTACTTGCCTGCAGTGTGTGTGCGCGCTTTTAGTTATGACACATACCGAGTTCCGCGCAGGACGAAATCCGTCGAACTCAGAGAAACACACCTGCACAGAGATTGCAGCTTCTGCTCTCGAAGTTTTGCAACATGATTCTCTATAGTGCACCCCACATGAGGTGTGCAAAGTTCCCACTATGGCCCTTTGTTTTTGTGTAGGATTGCTTTTTGAGGTACTCCCCCAACCTGCGAACAGCAGACACTTTGTGTGATTCCCCAGCTGTGCATCCTCTCAAGGCGGTCCAAAAATGCCACAACTTGGTCAAGCGGTATTTGTGTTGTTTTGAGATGTTTTGAGCATAGAGATCCCACAAAACGCCCCCCTGGGATCAGGGCGCGGAGAAGCGGTTGGATCTCCTCAAGGAGAAGTCCAGCCAACTGCAGGCGCGATGGTCGGATCGGATCGGACAGCACCGGAGGAGCCCCTTGGCTCCCATTTTTTTCGGTGGGTTTTCCTTCAAAGTCATAACCAGCACCAGCATAGACCCCGGAAAACAGGCGGATGGTTGCACACCAGCACCTCTTTATGTGAAGTTAGAACCCCTAGGCCCTATAGCTTTCAGCTATCTGGGGAACAAACACTAGGACATGCCCTCTTTTGCCCTGTCGCACAAAGAAACAAAAACGGCAACCTGTAAAGATGAGTGTTGTGTGTTTGGTTTTCATTTGCGACTCCTCGAAAAAGGCGCTCTCAACAAAAAGACAAACTCATGTTGTTGATTGCACATCGTGTGAATCGGGCTCTCAGATTTGGACACGAAAAGCAGGTCTTTGGGGCTTGAACTGTTTGGTCAAGTATTGGGTTGTTACTATGTTTCTTCCCCAGAATTAGCTCCGCCTTTCCCTTTTTTGCTTTTTTGGGGTCCCCATTGTTTTTCACTAACCAGGCAAAAAAAATATTTTTGCTGGGGTCCGATTTTTCCAGCCAAGTTTTAAGGGCTCAGCGCTGAGCGAAGCCCAGCGAATTTCCTCGTCCAACGTGAGCCTCTCCAAGCTCACAGATCGAAAACCACTTTCAGCGAGCGGCGCCCTTCGAATGTCTCAGCTGTTCAGTGGCTCCCTTTTTCTTTTTCCCCTTTTTTTTTGGTGGCTGCCCCACTAAAATGGTCTTCCCAAAAAGGGGTTCCCTTTTTTTCCCAGGGTCACTGAACAACTGAGAAGAGATGTGCCTTCTCCATTTCTTTTCAGCGATATTTTTTTTTTTGTCGATCACGATTGTCAAAAAAGAAGAATGCTTGACCAGAATGGGTGAAATTCACATCTAGAACCCTGTGTCCTTTGAGATTCCTTCCTTGAATTCCCCTCAATCTCATTCGTGCTGCTGGTACAGGTCAGGCACCCCAAAACCTCGGCCAATGAACCCATGCCGGTGGTGTTTAAGCAGACTTTTGGGCTCGTTTGCAGAAACATCTCCAGAACAAGTCATGGCAATGTTAAGGCGAAGCCAAGAAAGGGCTTTCCCAGTGAACAGCCGATTTGGGTTTTCAACAAACCTCCTGGGGCTCCAGACTCGAATTCGAGGAGAGCTGCGACCTGAACAAGTTCTGCTTCCACGGGCTGTCTGTGTCTAGGCGAAAAAGATCCAGACTTTCTCGGAAGCTACTTGCAATTGGTGCTTTCGACCTTTGCTAGCGCCGAACTTTGTCATCATTTCTCATCTCCAAACGTAGCCGGACACCCGTACAAGAGAAATGGCATGCGGGCGAAAGTGCCATAATTCAGGGTCGGATACTCATGCTTCTGGACTAACCAAAAGACTGACAAATGAGAGCGCGCTTTGAATGGTTCACTCTTGGCGTTGGTTGGTAGCAGCAGACCTTGGAAGCTCCAGGGAAGACTACTGAGTCATTGACTACTGTATGGTTTTTCTACATGTTTCTCAGTTGCCCAAAGCGAATCAACCTGAAATGGCCACTTGGTTTGGTCCATAGTTTGTCCCAAATGCTTAACCCTAATTTCCACGTCCCTTGGTCAAGTGGGGTTTTGTTTGCGATATGTACCTTTCCTGAGGGATCATTGGAGAGGACCTAACAAAACAACATGGGGCAAGCAATTGATCTTGGTCCACAAGGCATGTACATATTAGTTTTCCTCCGGGAAAATCAGCCATTAGCAGAGGAAGTTGAACTATACACCAGGTGAAAGTAGATGGCACAACTCCCCTTGAGTGGGTACCAAAGGGGATGACTAAACCAGAATGGGGGACTTGTGCCATCAACTTTTACCAAACTCTAGTTCTTAGATGTTTAACCTGGAAACTAGGCGACCATGGATATAAGTCAAGCAAGCCTGTTTTCCATTTGAAACCCCGTTATAAGCCTCGGTTCCCAGCCATCTCTAGGTTTCGCAGACTTTTAGGGTTGGTTTCCAATTAACCCACAAGTTTAAACGTATGAATCCAAGGATAGCGCATAGCTGCGCCTTTGTAGCTTGACCCAATGCCAAGGATCGCTTAGAGGCAACGAAGGCTGTGGCCGATGCCCGACGCCCTGGTGATCTGTTGGCCGTGGTTCTGGCCATCGAGTGTTGGTCGTCGTAGATGTCTCCTGAAATTGAGGGAGGAAAGGGACGCCTCATTTTGTTTAAAAGGATGCTGAGGAAAAAGTGGTTGTTTTTTGGCGGGTCGCTATTTTTAGGAAACGCACACATGTGCAAACCAATTTGCTTTACATGGTCTCCCACTCGTATGAGCAATGGGCAGTTGATGATCTCGGTTTTGGGTGGTTCACTTTTGGTTTCTAGTTTGGGCATGGATGTTGAAATGAATATCTTCACCCAACAGCCGAGGGGCAACTCCTTGTGCTCAAGGTCCTCGTTTCCTGTGTCCTTACCAATCCCAGGTAAAGGGCCTGGCACATCTTGAGGCAACACTCGCCAGCCCCAAGCCAGGAAAGAAACACTGCAAAATCGCAAGACCATGGCTCAGTTGAGAAGGGCACCTACCTGGTTTGAAGGGTTCATGGGGCCTGCAAAGTCCGTTTGTCCACCGTGGTAGAAGCAACAGTCAATGGTGTTGGGCGTTGATCACATGGCCGGTGTTATTTATAGCTGTCCGCACAGGAGCAACCTGCACTTGATACTGTCAGATTTGGCCTTGAAGATGCGAAAAACGCGTGGATGTGTGTGTGTGTGTGTTGAAACTTGTCCAGACTCCATAGCTTTGTCAGAGTTTTGTGACAGGAAGATCTACGGGAAATGGCCACCCAAACCGTAAATGAGCTGTTTTTCTTGTAAAGTTCCTGCAACCCAGACCTTTGCTGGATCCAGGTTGCGCACGCAGATGTGCAGAGGCTGGCTGGGCCCTTCTGGGGGCCGTAAGGTCCTGTGTATGGCTTTGACTTCCGATTGCCAGCGCGTTCAGTGGAAGGAGGCCTGAAAAACATCCTTAAATGCAGGGGGCAAGTAAAAACGTCTTTCAATTCTTGCGCAATCACTCAAGGAATCGATGGGAACGAAGGTGTTTGTCAATATTGCTGTAGGAAATTGCCAGAAGGCGGGGTGGCCCATCATTTTGGCACATTCCCTGATGATGAAATTGACAATGCGACTGACTAGAGAGACAGCGTTGCTTGCACACTGTTGCATTTTGATTCTTTGCAACCGTTTACTCATGGTGCGTGCTCGAACTCCGCAAATATAGGGACTGACCGAGCCGTTTGACTTCCATCACGTCTACGCCACATGGCACCATGGTGCCTTTCTGATCACGCCTCACCGCCTCACCTATGCAAGCACCTTAGCTTCTCCGGGTGGCACTCAGTACAACGATCCTTTAGGATTCGAGTAGACTCCTTTGTCGGGTTTTGGTTGTGACTCACAACTTGGTGTTTGCAAGCTTCCTGTTACAGCAAATGTCAAGGGGGAGTTAGGCACCAGCCAGAAGGCCATGGATTGCTTGCATGGAAGACCTCAAGATGTTCATGTGTTTGCATGTTCTTGGGTTTTCTTCAACATGAAACTCTTCTTGTTCTTTGCGGGGCCATGTTGGGATAGGTTCATTATGTTGGGTCGCCATGCCTTTCAAAGCTCAAAAGCTCATTGCGTACGTCCAGGCAGTTCTACGGGAAGCCTCTGATTTTGGGAGTTTGGCGAGTTTCCCGTAGAACTTCCTGTCGCTGGTTTCTATGAGCCCTCGGTCCCACTTGGCTCCGTCCAAGCGGTAACCGCAGGCTGAAGGTGGTGGAGTCCTGCCACCACCAGGACGACGCGGGGAGCGAGCGCTTCGGAACCGCATCCGAATTTCCGCCAATCCGCGGTTGGGTAAAGGGATCGGTGCGTGAATGGTAGGGAATCAGTCGTTTGGGTCATTTAGGTCTTGGATGGTAGGGGTAATTTGCCCCTTGGCGTTTGGGTAATTTGGGTATGGGTCAAAATGAGTCACCACCAGGAATTGGACCGCAGGTCTTGGTACCCATGTTTTTGACCACAGCCATTTAGCCCTATGGTAGGGGGTAATTTGCCCCTTGAATGGTAGGGAGACCGTGGTTTTTGGGGGGGGGAGGGATGGGTTGCAGGTCCCAGAAGTTCTAAGCGAAGTCCGCGCCAGGACCTTTCAGATGCTTTGGGCCGCCTGCAGAGGCGCCGTGATCGGGTTCAGATCCCATCTGTATGGGCTGTCGTCAGCTCGTGAGTCGGGGGTCATTGTTTTGGGGAAGTGTTGCTTTGACCCAAAAGGCAACCAGAAGGCGACGGATGTATCGTCTTGTTTTGTTTAGTGTACATATTCATGGTTATTTAGAAGTATGTGTATCTATATATACACATACTTATGACTTCTGTGTTCAGGCCCTCTTATTTATCATTTATATATCTACACCAGTTACAGAGCTTCAGCCATGAGCGTTCCACTTGTTTTTGTCTGAGATGCCGAGTCTGAGATGTGTTGCGTGGAGTGAATCCGCACACACCGGATGCAATACATATCTCATACAGTAGCGACTTGGCGGTATGTTAAAACTGGGCAACTGCTTCTTGATATGTTTGGTGCTGAACGAAAAACTGAAATGAAACCCATGTGGAGTCCCGCTACCCGGTGGACCCAGATGTTCAGTGGCACCCTTCCCACGTGTTTCCGTGGTAAATGGCGAACCCTACGGCTGGAGTCTCAAACTGTGGGGCAAGATCAAACGAAGGCAATGCGGGTGGAGGGCCAACCACCACGTGAATTGCCATGGAACCCGCCAGGTCCCTTTAAAGGAACATAGTTTTCCCGGAGCCTTTGTCAGGTTGTGGATAGGTTTGGTCACAAGCCTGCCCGCAAAGGTCGACCTAAGCTTCTTCTTTTTCCCCCAAAGTCAGGGTCCCTCTCTCACCTGGATCCATTTCCTCTTGAAGGGACCCTCTGTGAGGTATCAGCTGACAGGAAGTACCCTCCCAACATAACGTGGGAGGGCACCTGGAAGATCATTGTCCTCTTGGGGCCCTCTGTCAGGTGCCATGTTAGTGGGAATGAGGGTAACCTTGATGTCCAAGTCCTTACCTTTTTGGGAAGACCATTTTAGCGGTAAATATAAAGCTTGGACTTTTCTTGGGCCATGAACTCAGCAAGTGAGAGAAAGTATCTTTGATGTCCAAGTCCTTTGGGCAAGTGAGTAGCTGCCTACCAGGGCCGGCTGAGATGTTTTCAGTCGTGACATGCGCAAGGCGTGTGGATCGGACCGATGCCAAGGCCGGGGGTTGAGCCTATGGCACGGCGCGCGCTGGGGCTATTAGACATCCGAAAAATGTGCCCTGGAAATGCGTGCTTCTTCCAAATGTGGGACTCCCAGTGGTTGGTGTCCCTGTTGGTTTCACTTTCAGACCCTACCAAAAAAAAGGGCCCCTCATTGTGAGACAGACCTAGATGACACCTGCATTTCCCATTCATTGACTTTTGACATTCCGGGGTCCCGGGCAGCAAGGTCAACAACCTGCAAAGGCTCTTGTGGAAAATGGCGGGCAATTGGGGGGCGATTTCTCTGAACCCGCGGCTTGAGAATGGGACACGCAACGGCTCTGGATTCCTTGGCCCTGGATGCAACAGTCTTTGACCCCGTTTCGAGTTGGTCAAATCGACTCCAATGGAAAGTCAAGTTGGTCGCACTTTTTGTGAGGGTCTCCCTTTTGGAGTGGTTTCAAAAAGGAAAGCCTCTCGCCATGTTTTGTTCTCCCTATTTTAAGAGGCACCAATATGGAACCCAAACAGGGGGAGGTTCAAAAGGTAATCCCAACCCGCTTGAAGTCATCAACAAAAACATGGGCTGAACTTCTGACCCCGGTGTGGGACCTTGGATGCTCTGAACAGCCAAGGTACGTTTCCCGCAGAATAGCGTGCCACAAGAACCCTCATGTTTCGAGTCTCACGCCCCGAGTTCCTGGACTTCCGTTACTTTTTTGGTTTGGACCACTTGGTAAACAACCAGTTTCTACTTGTTTGGCCAATCCACTCGGGAAGTGAGGAGGACTCTCACCTTTGGAGGATCCCTTTGCGATTCTCGAGACCTCACTTCCTGAGTTCATGAACTTTAAACTTTTTGGAAGGACCATCTCAGTGGTACAGAACAAGTTTGGTTACTTTTTTTGGGCCATCTCAGCCAGTGAGAGACCTTGTCGCTCGTGAGGCTTGGAGTCCCAAAGTGCTGAGAGAGGGACAGGATCCCTTCGAGAAGTTGCCGGGGTAGTCTCGCTCGCTCCCTGAGTTCCTGGACTTTAGACTTTTGGGGTTGGACCATTTTGGTGGTAAACAGAAAGTTTGGACTTTTTTTGGCCCATCAACTCAGGAAGCGAGTATTTCAAGCAGGGGAGTGTTCAATCGGGTTGCACCCATTGCCCCCCTTTCGTTTCGCTTCGCCACCAACGGCGCGGAAGGGCGCGGAAGGGTGTTCTTCACGGGCGCTGCAATGAGTTGGAGTTCGGCGGTTTCTTTTCTGCTCCACTACATGTTTTTCTTGATGTCTTGACTTGTAAGTGTGTTCCTTTATGTATTTATGTATTGGTGTTCCTTTGTAACAGAGCTGCCTTGTTTTGGTGATTCCCCGCAGCTTCTTGTCTTTGATGTCAAAGTTAGAACTTTGGTGCATTTTGCCAAGGGATGTTCGGACTTGAACTTTTTGCCAACTCATCGGTTTTCCGAATTAAACCACAACAAGGTATTCACTTTTAGCAGGGGAGCAGAAAGCAATCGAGTTGATTCCTTTGTGTCTTGACTTGTAGATTTGTTCCTTTGTGTATTGATGTTTTTGTCTTGCATAATTTTGATGGTTCTTTCTGTGCTTTATGCATTAATTCCTGATTCCTTCCTTCCGTCCTCCCTCCCGCCCTTCTGACCCCCATCCCTCCCTTCCGACCTCGCCTCCATCCCTCCCTTCCGTCCCTCCCTCCACCCTGACCCACCCGGCATTTTGGCCGTGGCCACATAGCAGTCGTCCGAAAGGTCCTTGTATTGAGATATGAAGGGGAGATCGTTTGGTCTTAGTCTTGGCCTCCGCGAAAACTCCGCGATGGAGGTCGCAACAGTCAAGTTGTTGTTCGCGAAAGCTTTGTGTAATTAAGAGTGGTTTGCTAACCCTTTCAACCAACTTGTTAAAGGGTTTGTTAAATAAACACAGACCCTTCTTGTTTCACAGGCGGCAGGCGTGTTTATTTGTCTGTGTTGTCACCGCTGTCTTGGGATCAGGCCCAGCACAACCTCGAGGACCTGAAGAGGACTGGCACCAATCGGACTGCAGGGTTGGCTTCCTTTGAACCATTTCACTATGGGTGGTGTCCTTTCATTTCCCCATTGAACAAATTGAAGCTTATGCGGGTTCCCTTTGATTTTCCTTTCAACAGTTTGACCATGGATTTCTCTTGGCCTTCCTTTCCACAACTTGACCATGATGCCCCTTTCCAACAAAGCAGCCTTCTTTTCAAGTTACACATAGCAACAGTTGTTTCTCGACATTTTTCCCTTTGTCTTCCTGACCCAGCAAGCACGTCACCGAGTAGAGAAAAAGCGCAAGGACCGATGACGGCCTGGGCGACCGTTTGGCGCGCGCCGAGAAAGGCGGCACAACTCGGGGGGGTCAATCGCAAGCGCTTACATCCCATCCGCGAGACATGGCATACTCAGTCCTCAAAATTGGATGGGCTAGAGAAGTAGAAGATCCTGAAGGAAGGCAAGAGAGTACAACACTTGCCACATACCAGTCTTTGGACACGAGACATCAGCGCGGAGTCTGGCTTGGTGGTTGTTTTTGTTCAAGGAAACCGAAAGGACGTTGAAGCCCTGTTTGGGGGAATATGATTCCTTTGAGGCAAAGCCATGTCAGAACGCGCCGTGCAAGTTGCCAAGTTGCCGAGCGTGAAACCCCGGGGCCCTTCAGCAGGGGGAGTTGGCCCAGCCCGTTTTGACTTGGTCAAACTTGCGCCAACCAACAAAAACCTGGTGTCTTTGGCCATGAATCTGAATTGGGAATCCCGCAAATGTTGTTGGTGGACATAAATCCTAACCTAAATGCCTAAATGATGTTCACCAAACCATTCGGTCAATGTGCCAGGCCTGGATAAAGTCACCAACGCCATCGCCGCAGCCTCGAAATTTACGGTGGGCGGGGTATATATGTCTGACTGCCTGCTCCGAGCGTGTTAGCAACCACATTATCACATCATGCCCCTGCCCCCTTGTGGCGGGACCCCCCTTCAAAGCAGTGTACGGCGCTACGTTGCCCAAAGAACACACCCAGACTGAACAAGTTTTCTGGTTGTGTTTTTCAGGATCTCGACACACTGTCAACTTTAAATCCTGGTTATAAGTTGTGATTTACTTACTTGCTACTTCGATCATCCAAGTACTCCCCGGATTGGCATGGGAACGCACAGACCCATTTGAAGAGGAATTTCCTTTGTTGTTCGAGCCCTAGTTCCATGTGAGCAGCGCAAACCGTTTCCCGGGAGCCAGTTCTACCTCTTGCGATCTAGCAAAGCCTCCCCTCATGACGCATTTTAGCAGATGGTTCTACTAGCCAGTGCTGATGCCTTGTTCAATCGAGCAGCTCTAAAACCCCCCCGTTACGGATCTAGTAAAGCCTATATAACCTCACTTGCCCAAAGCCGACCTTTTCACCTTTTGGTTTCCCCTTTTTGGTCCTCTGTTAGTCATGGCCCCAAAAGGTGATCACCTTCTATTTCTGGGTCCCTAACGGGCAATTGAGTAACCCTCATGACCCATGCTGGAACCAAACCTCAATGAGTCCATGGGTTCGGCGTCGTCTCCATTCGAGGAGTCCTTGGACGCAAACATGCAGGATCCGGGGCGTCGGGGCGGGCGAGTCGACGGGAACGGGGTCTTCATGATCTCTTGAAAGGAGAAGCCTTAAGGAGATATCAGGGTCAAACAGTGCGACATGCTTTTTGTTTTTTCTTCGAAACAAAAGTGTTTTTTCTTTTTCTTTTTCTTTTTTTATGTCACCGGCAGTCGATAGATAGGGTTTATGTGGATGCGTCGTTTTCGGTGATTGGCAACATCATCTGGTGCACATACAACAGTGAGATCCCTTTTGCTGGGGTTGAAATTTCAACAGACACTTCCCTAATCAGAATTCAACTCAACAAGGGATCTGCCACAGGGAGCTTCCTCGAGTTCCACGTTAATTGGAAGGGGAGTATAAGGAACCCAAACTATAGCTAAGTGGGTTACAGCGTGTCACGGGTCACAAGTTGATGAACCTGAGACTGTTTGAAACGTTAGCAGCGTGCTTGATGCTTGATTCTATACGGGTGTCATTGGCACCGGTGGGACAGTCGAAGACAAACCCGTTTATGAGGAATTACCGGAGCAATGCGTTGTTCATCACAACCTTTTGGACGCCGTAGCAAGTTCGTCGACAAGCTTTCCGCAAGTCAACATTTTGTTGTGACCCAAATCACAAATGCGTGGCTGCCTAGATGCTACTCATGCTTGAAAGCGCGCGTAAGAAGTGTGGCTCCAGGAGTACGTTGCTTTGGTGCATTTCAGGAATGACACCCCCTATAGATAGCTTCCTCATGTCAACGTTTGGCGCCATCTTACATTTTGCCCACCAAGAGGATGAACAAAGAAGGTACGTAGAATCCTACGATGGGGGCCAGATGACTGAAGGCATCAAGATAAGGTGAACGAAGTTCCCCTGGCTTCGGAGGTGAGATCTGGGATGAAGGGTTTTCACGTTGCTCCTCTTTTTGTGGGGCCTTTCACCCCACGCGGTTTAGCAAGACCCCGGCTGCAAAGTGGTCCATTCTGCTGGTTGTGTCAAATATCGGACAAAACGGACCTGCGAGCGCTTTATTTAATTTACGCAGCGAATTCTTTGGCATCCAGTCAGATGGCGTTCTATGATGAGGGGTGCTATGTTGGCTTTTGGTTTGTGCAACTTCCGCGAACTGTTTTCTTGGGAAATCCCTATGTATCTGTTTAGATGACGGCCTGAAAAGTCAAGCCCATCAGAGGTTTCAACTGGCCTGGACCAGGTTTTTCCTTACACCGATGGAGCCAAAAGTACCTGGCAGGCTACACTGCTCCAGTACGAGGAGGCAGAGGCGCAATTCTGGGTGTGTCCGTTTTTTCAGGTGGTTTTCTGAATGGAAGCCAAAGGGATGTTTTAGCATGTGCTTCTTCCGTTGGGGTATCCGACAGGGGGATGGGCTTTCAATTATCCCACGATGAGGAAGGTCATGTGGTTTGATAGTACCCAAGAACCACATTCTCATTACTTCGGCTATTGCTGGGCTCTCCTGCACCATGTCAAACTTTCGCGTCGACTAGATATGGACGTGGCTCAAAACACAGTACCCATTAGCAACAGGAAACAAAGACTTCCTGCATTTCCCAACTCTATGATTTTCTGCCGCACTATGAAACTATGAAACAAAGTCCAAAGAAAACATATTTTCCGTGTGCTTTTCAGGACCAGATTCCGAACGTACCATGTTTTCCCGTCGCAGTCGCCGTCCATCGCCGTTTTTTTTCGCGTCACGCGCGGCAGGCCTCGGAGCAGGGCAACTTGAACGCCTTGGAGCGCCTGGCCAACCACGTGCATCGCATCCGGGAGGAGTTCGTGAGCGACTCGAGTCGAGTCCATGAGCGACTCGAGTTGTAGGAAGAAAACTCGCCCCGTACGCACCCAATTGCGGTTCAGGGCCTGTAGGGAAATAAACGGAATCTATCTAACTCCATGAATTTCCAGGGTTGAAATGATCAAATGGAGAAATAAGTGTGCCACAGGGCGGTTTGGTTGGGGTTCACTGCTTGAAACTGGGCTTCGGTTGTTTTGTTGAACCCCCCGAATTAGATGAGACTTGCAGTCTGGTTGAAAATTGGTCTCACTAATTACCTTTGGGTTGAAAACTGGTTTGAAAGATGGGCTTTTGGTTGAAGCATTGGTCTCACTAATTGCCTTTTGGTTGAAAACTGGTTTGAAAGATGGGCGTTTGGTTGAAAATTGGTAGCAAACATTGGTCTTTGGGCTGAAAATTGGTTGAACATTGGTCCTATGTTTGAAAATTGGTTGAAGTTTAGTTTACCTGTGCCTTTAATCAGTTGCCAGGGCAATGCTAGTTTGCCGACACACGACATCTAGGACGATCAAGATGTTCTGTCTGCACATTGGGCATCAACAAGAAGGCAAGGAAAACGGGGCTCCCCAAAGGCTCATGTTATTTGTGCATGGTTCAGTTGCATGCCATCAAAAGGAGGCATGTCATCAGCCCAAAAGCATCCAACTTCTACTACCAAGCTGAAAGCTCGGAAGGAGAGGGGGTGGCATGGATCTGCTTTTCCTTGGGGAGTCATGGGTCGTTTGCTTGATTGCTGTTGGGTCGGAGGGTTTTCCATTGAACCCGCCAAACATAATTCACTTTTTGCAGAAGGGTCAACGGCAACCAAGATTTGGAAGGTGTGCGGATCGAACGGCAAGTGCTTTCGGCCGAGGAAAGGACCATTTCACCCTCTTTTTTTTTGGGGGGGGGGTTCCCGGATTCGGAAGGAAGTCCAAAGCTTCCTTCTGGAGAAACATGAGCCCCTGTTGAAAATTTCATGCGGCTGATAGGTTGCTTGTGTTGTCAGAAGTCTTAGTGGGGGGCTATAGAGATAGGAGCGTCTCACTCATCTCGTGGGCAATGATCCTCGCGTTTGGGATATATCTCCAGTTCCCAATTGTGTCGGGCGAAAGTCCCCTGTTACATACATTTCTGAATGGGCACGCGATGTCCATGGGCTTGCAAGGGCAACCCTGGTTCTGAAGCGGCAATTGTCCAGGCCCCAAGGCAGAATGGCCCTTTCTCCTTATTCAGGGCTGATTTTCTATCATTCAGTATACCCTTAACGTTTGTTTTCATTTGCCTCCTCTTCACCACACAGACTTGTCTTTTTGGTAAGGGTAGCCTGTTCGGATGGTTTGAAGGGAAGCCAAAAGGACACCCATTTTGCGGGGCTCCAAATCTTGACTGCAGTTGGGTTGGATCTTTAGACTTTAAACTTTTCGGGAAACAAAAACGTGTTTTCCACTAAACCCAAGAAAGATGAACAACTTCTTGCCGGGGGGTCGTTGCAGCAAACCAAGAAATCCCTTGAGACAAACCCGGGGCCCCGGAAAATCCGGTCAAAGGAGCTGCTGGAGCTGACACACCGCCTGCACGGCGAGGCGCGGGGAAAAGTTCAACGTACCGCTGGGGTCATACCTGAGAACTCCGTCGGGCTAAGGGTGGTTTTCGAGTTTTAGGCTGAAATTTTCGCCTTTTGGAGTTTACAGGTATGACATTCATATGACACTCTTCGGTTTGCAAATTTTGGAGTATGTTGTATTGGGGGTGTGGTGATGTTCCCCCAAAGCTACAACTCCTTAGATTCCCACCATGGCCCAGCAATCTGGGTTTGGCTCAAAATTAAACGATCGGAGGGGCAAACCGCAGGTCTTGGTACCCATGTTTCCACTTACCAGGGCAACCCATTTTGGTACCGGTTTTTTGAGCCACAGCCATATTTGGGTGAATTATAACGTCCTCACACGAGCGAATTCACCCCAAAAGGTGGTTTATGGGGGGGGAATATCCCTCCAAACACCTTGTTTCAGGCTGGTGAAATATTATGATTCACCCAGATTCATATGACGCTCTTCCATTTTGCATTTCAGAATATGTGCTGTGTTTCGCTTGTGGGGAAAGTAAAGGGAATCTTTCACTGCTGGAAATCGTGAAATAGAAAAATCACGTGATATGTTATGTCGTGTTTCCCCTGTCGGGAAAATAAAGGGAATATGTTTTGCTACTGGAATCCTGAAGAAGAAATCCGGCGGCCATATGTTGTGTTTTCCCTGATAGCCACTGACTGAACATTTTAAATTTAAATGAAATCCGGACGTGGCGAGAAGGGCCGGGATCGTTCCAGGTGACCAGCTCGGTGTGTGAGCTCAGCGGCACCGTGGAGACGCACGGCGAGCAGCTGCAGCCCGGAAACCCGGAACTGGGCAAACCGAACCGGGCGCAGGCGCTGAAGCTGAAGGTCAACTCATGGTTCTCGTTGGCAAACATGTTGCCACTTTTTGCTTATTGCAATTGTGGCTTAGTGGGAATTCCTCACTTAACTGCATTTTTTTTTGTTGTTTGCTCCCCTTCCAACGTCAACCAATAACTTGTGGATGCACCCGCCTTTCGGGAAAGCAAGGGATTCGGATGGCTAGACCAACTCCATTGCTCCATGAACTTGTGGATTGCATTTGTCTCCTTTAGCCACCAAACCAAGCAACCCAAGGGATTCGGATGGCTAGACCCCTTGAAAAAGCAGACTCCAATGAAAGCATATTGGTACCCCAGACACGCTGTGAGTTTTTGTCCTTTTGCTTGCGGATGGGTCTTCCCTTGGATTTTCAACCCAATGTCTCAATGGCCGCTGGGCTGAGTGATGGACAAGTGCCCAACACTTACGCCCCCCTCAGTTGAAGAATCAGCTCATTGAGCAGACCTTAACATTGGTTTCGCAGGAAGGCATAGAATTCCCACAACCCTTCTTGGGGCAGCCGCTTGCCCAACACACAAATCGGTCTTTGGGTGTCCTCGAAACCCACAAGAGATGGTTTGTGGGGGTCAAAATCTCATTGTTTTTACTCAGAGGCAGCACATGTTAGAACCTGAGTTTCCCTTTAATCCAAAACGCAACTCTCTGGTCTTGAGGTTCTCTTTTTGCCTTCCTTCTGGCAACCGGTTGGCTTCTCTCTTTTTGTTTCTTTGCGTGCTTATATGTACATATATAATATAGCTATCCAGGAGAAGCCCGCGGTTTCCCTGAGAAAGACCCTGACTTTTCTACAAGGCGCAGTGCTATGTTTGATCTTAACGTCATGGCCGCTGGAAGCTGAATTGTCCATGAAGTTCCATTTCCCCCAAAGGAGACCAAGAGGTGTGTGTTTCCAGACTCTCCATTTGACACCCAGCATCAAGCGTGAACGCGTTTGTTGAACATGACTGAGATTTCCCTAGAAACTGTCACACTCCGTTTGACCAGCGTAGATGAAATCCAATTCGCACCAGCTAGGTGATTATCCCGTCAGAGCGCGTTTTATTGAAGATGTCTTTGCCGACAATGATGAACAAAGAAAATACTTAAATCCTGGGTTGCAACCAAAACCCTGGTTCCGACCGCAAGGTTATGTCCAAAAACGAATCGGGTTGCAATCACCCAAACAATGGGGTGCGACGAAAGTTGTGGAACGTAGAAACAAATCACAGAGTACACACCAACCAACGAAACCAAGCAATTACATACCAACCAAACCAAACAAAGGGTTTTGCTGGGGGATCACGTACTTCGGCTTTTATCGCAATTCATTCACCACTTTGGTGAGTCCAATCAAAGCTTGATGGCTCTTTGGCTGAGCGGCTTCAACAGCTAACCAAGTTCGCCTAAGACATCCTAAGAAACACTTCCTGAGTCGAATAGGCTTGGCTTCACCCCACGAGTCGTTGCAGCACCCAAATCTACTGACGGTCTCCTATGGTTGCAGCACCAGGTCCTAAAAAAGCCAGTGTTTCTTTTTTTTGAGGAGAATAGGCTTGGCAAAGAAAACGAAATTCGTTGCAGCAACCCAAACACCCGCTGCAACTTCTCCGCGGGGTTCCATGATTCGTGTGGCAGGCACCAGGACCAGCAGCTCCAGGGTTTGGAGGACGGCTCCGAGTCCTTGGACGCGGGCCTGCGCAAGGCGGCGGGAGGAAGCGCCGGCTCCGCATGCGGATCCGGAGCTTTTTGGGGAGGTTGGTTTGGGGGCTTGGCCGGAAAGGACACCAGGGGTTTTGGGGGTTGGTCTTAAGTTTTGAAAATTTGTTGGCTTTGGTTGGGGGGTGGTTTAAGCAACTGCTTGGTTGAAGAAGGGTTCAACATGTTCCTTCCGGTTTGTGATTGCTTGTTTGTAAAAGGAAGCCACAAAGGAATCCGACATGGTGTTTCGCGGGAATCCAAAGAAGCATCCAACAGTTGTTCCAAGTCATCGGCGTGAGAACAAGCTGAAGGGTCGGTATTTTGAACACATGCCCATGTCTACAGCGAAAGAAGCACCTCTATTTACTTTGGCTTTTCTGTTTTTTTTTTTTTTTTTTTTTTTTTTTTTTAACAGGGGTGGGAATGAGCTCATTAATCGGGATGCTTCAGCATTTTTCCATCAGGCTTGCCCTAAGTCCGGCCAGTCTGCCGTTGCACAAAGTACCAGTCTCGATCAAACGTGCTATGCACCACTTCCATGTAATGTGCAACAGTGCCGATTAAAAGGCCCAACAAATCCGCAATCCCTCCCAATTTTCAATTTGTTGTTGACACTAGACACATTGCAATGTCAGGGTATGACCTCAATGACTATTCGATAAAAACGCTTCTTGAGGGCATTTCTTAGCGAATATCCTTTTGGATCTCCTTTCGATCCAGAAAATGAAAAGGGTACCCACAAGAACAGGACACATCCATGTGCACTTGCCATGCGGGCCGGTGTGGCCGTGTTGGATAGTCCGAACCGAATCCTTAGGCGATTTGGGCGGCCAGACTACCATCCTTGGTGTTTTTGACTATTTTCCCTTGTGGGGTTTGAATGGATCTCATCTTCGTGTTCGCGCATTTCCAAGCTGGATGCCAACTGGGATATCACTTAAAGACATTCAGCATTCCACCAGGTGACCTTCTGGGACAGGTTTGAAAGGAAGCCAAAGAAGAAGCCAACCTTTTGAAGCAGGCCCCTACAGCCTCATAGCTTCACACAAGCCGAACAAAAGGCCCTTTCTGGGGTCCATTGAGGACCAGCATGTTCACAAAAGTATTTCCCAGGCGCATCAACTTTGCGCCGAGCTGAACAGAGAAGTGGCCAGGGGCCAAGGTCGCAAGTAGGGGGATGTTGGGTCTGTTGGAATGGGTTTTGGGGTCAGTTCGAAGGGATTCAGACGGCCACAGCCCTTGTTTTCATTTGAAAAAGCAGGCTCAAAACCATGCCAGAAGAATGAGCGACTTTCAGAGAGAACCCGGACAAGTCAGGGTAGTGGCACAAATGCCAGGGTTGTCCTCGTTGGTTTTTGCAAGCTGTGCTCCGAAGGGTATGCCGAATTAAGGGGGGCGCCCTGGCATGATGCAGCTGAGGGGTAGATGGGAATGTCGTTTGTTTTGAGTAAGGAGTCGAATGGGTAAACAGTTTGCACAAGACTTTAGCACCTTGGTAAAAGCCGCAGACATGTGCCTACCCAGTAGACTTGGTCTTGTTTCGCTCAAGGTCCTTGTTTAGATCTGTGAATATGACATACGTCGTGAACCAGACTTGAGGAGTGCTCAGAACCTTGCTTGTTGCAGGACCATTATTCTCAATGCCAACATTCACGCCATCATGACCAATTGAAACCACAAGCTGTTGGATATGTTTTCAGTTGTTCCTGGTTGCATCTTATGTTGCTTCTGTTTGGTGCCCACACGTGTGTTTGTTTTAACCACCCGCTGACCCCAGATGGTTCCTTAAAATTCTTCAGACTGCTTTGGCCAGGAGTCCCTATGCTTCCCTTTGAGGTCCAGCATTGGCCAAGGTGCATTGAGTTCTTGTTTGGCTTACTCCCGGAGTCATGGACTTGAAACTTTTCATTAAGACCAGTTTCGTGGCAAGCATCGACTTTGGACGGCTTTTGGCCACTGAGGAAGTGCCAGAGACCCCAAAGCTGTCAGCTGGTTGGGAGAAATATTTCTTGAAATTCGGGGGAATCGATCCCTCCAAGTGGTCGGCTAATTTCCTCTCCCCTTTGAGACTGCATCCCAGGAGTCGGTCTGGCAGAGAGCTCAGAAGGCCGACGATGAGATCAGGCGGGCTCGGACCAAGAGCCTCACCGGAAGACCACTGACCGGGGGGTTGCTGGGGGCTTGAAATGACAATCCAACTCTGTGCCATGGTGCCTTGGCACCTTCTGAGGTATTTTTACCCCTTTGAACCCCAAACCATCCCCTCTGGGTATGGCTAGGATTTTCAATTTGGTCTATATGGTCTTTGGGCTCGCTGATGCCGAGTTGAGCAACAGAAAGGGGCAAGTTGTGGATGTGGTTTCCTAGCTCTCCGCAAAATACGTCCAGCACAATATCCAAGGCCATGGCTTGGATGAATCATGTGCTTGGCATGGGGTTATGAGAGTATGAAATCATATTTTGAGCACCGCGTGAAAGGTGCGCATCCCCAGGAGTCTGATCCTCACCCAAGACAACACCGGGGAGCAGATGGAAGAGGTCCAGCAAGACTTGAATCAGGACAGGCCGTCGAATCGAACCACCACCGGCATGCGTCGTCTTTTTTGGGATTTGGACCGCCGGCCAGTTTGCAGGTGGCCCCAACTCTAATCATACCCACCTTCAACGTGTTTTGTCGTTTGGTATCGTCATTTAACACCCACCGAAGAGGGGTACCGAATCTCAAAAAACGACACCCATCTGGTGTTATCCCATTTGATTTGTTGGAGAGTTGCTTCTGGACTCCGGTCAATGGGTAGGACCAATTCCAATAAAGGCGTACTAGTTGTTTTTCTTTTTTTTCTGGGACTCAAATGGCGGTGCCGTTATTGAGGGTACCATTTTCGGCTGAATAAAAGGAAGCCGAAAAGAAAAGCACGATTGTCGGGTTCCACCTAATTTGACCGACACATACCCCTTTTGCCCGGAGGGTCATTTTGGCCAGCCAATCCTGTGGATGGACCTCTTGGGTTTGCTCAGCCTTCAAAACATGCTCCCTTTGTTTCAAGAAACAGTGCGAGTTTCCTAGGCAAGCACGGCCTCCATCTGAAGCTTTTGTATTTGCAAACTTCTTGAAGCTACCACGGGCCTTCCTTTGAGGCGCTACAACAAGATTCTTCACACGGCCGCGTTGGACGCGTTTGTTTGCCCAAGCCTGCCACAGTAAGTATTGCAGAATTCGATTGTCGCGGTTTAAGAGAATCTGCAATTGGAGAATGATCGCAGGTCTCTTCTGTCGATGTTCTGGAGAATAGGTGGCATGCATGCGACGACGAACGCCGCTTTGGTTCCCTCGCAAAGCATGGGCCCTAAACCAAATGCGGCAAGTAGCTTCGCTGATGCTGTAAAATTGGGCGGTGGCTTTTGACGGATTCTGGGCCGCCGATTTTGAGGGAGCAGCCCGGTTGGGAACCCAGTCTCTTGCACTGGGTTTACAAAGCATGTTTATCAACAGATTCGGGCAGCCTTGTTCCCGACACCCCTCTGGGGGTCTCTTGAGAACCTGTCATTTCGTTTTTTGAAGCATTGTGCATCTTCGGATGATCCACACATGATCTCAATTAAAAAGTTCGGATGATCCACACATGATCTCGATGAAAAAGATCTCGAATGCAGTCAGGACGGAGTTCTGGGATGCCATTCTTGTTTACAAGGTGGGAGGTTCAGAGGAGGCGATTCATTTACTTCTCCCAGCCATCCGGTTCCAGCTGCTTTTTGCACTTTTAGCTGGTCTAGTGGTTGGGTTTCCATTCGACCCACAAGTTGAGAACTTTCAGCACAAGATCTGAAATCGGGAAGCCCTGATTTGTTTCTCGGCTTCCAACTGGTTCTGACCTCTTAACAGTCCCCCGACTTTGATGCTTGGCACCTGCACGAGAAACATCCTCCCCGGTCACGAAACGCTTCGTGCAGGCAAAAGGACGCCTGCGAGTGGCCGAGCACGAGCTTGAGGCTCACCGCTCAGCGCCTGGGCGGTGGACGGAGCCAAAACTGTTGGTGGCCCACGGAACTGAGGTCAGGAACCTTACACTTTTTGGTTGGTTGGACCAGTTCAGTGGCAAACAAAAACCTTGAACTTTTTTGGGGCCATCCACACAGCCCCTGTTGGTGGGTGTTAAAGGGATGCTGATACCAAAAGAACCCGACCATTTTGGGGTCCCCCTGTCTTGGCACATGCCCAAACAGCTTCGCTGTAGGGGTTCTTGATTGATTTAAGGAATGCACGCCTGTTTTCGATCGGGAGCTGCCAGATGCTTTGCACGCCTCTGGGCGGCCGGCTTAGTAAACGAATTCATTTGTCTCCCAGCTTGGCTAGCGCTGCCAGATGCCCTGCACGCCTCTCCGGGCGGGCGGCTTGGTAAACAAATTAGTTTGTCTCCCAGCTTGGTTAGCGCTGCCAGATGCTCTGCATGCCTCTGCGGGCGGGCGGCTTAGTAAACAATTTCAGTTGTCTCTCCAGCTTGGTCAGCGCTGCCAGATGCTCTGCACGCCTCTCCAGGCGGGCGGCTGGTTAAACTAATTCATCGGTCAAATGCTCTGCACGCCCCTCCGAGCGGGCGGCTGGCTAAATGAACTCATTTGTCTCCCAGCTTGGTTAGCGGTGCCAGATGCTCTGCACGCCTCTCCGGGCGGGGGGCTTAGTAAACGAATTCACCTGTCTCCCAGCTTGGTTTAGGGCTGCCAGATGCTCTGCACGCCTCCCGCGCGGCTGGCTTAGTAAACAGTTACAGTTTTCTCCAAGCTTGCTGGATACTATGCACGCCTGTCATCGCGCCGTCTTAGGAAAAGAATTCATCTGTCTCCCAGCTTGGTGAGCGCTGCCACATGCTCTGCACGCCTCTTGGGCGGGCGGCTTATGGTAAACGAATTCGTTTGTCTCCCAGCTTGGTTAGCGCTGCCAGATGCTTTGCACGCCTCCCCGGGAGGGGGGCTGACTAAAATTAATTCATTTGTGGGTTAGCGCTGATGCTCTGCGCGCCCCTCCGATCGGCCTGCTTAGTATTGTTTCCCAGCTCGGTTAGCCTGCCAGATGCTCTGACGCCTCTCGGGCGGGCGGCTGACTAAACGAATGAATGTATTTGTCTCCCAGCTCGGCTCGCGCTGCTGGATGCTCTGCGCGCCTCTCCAAGCGGGCGGCTGACAATTTAGCGAATCTACCAGGTGTCACCCTGGCTTGGTTCGCGCTGCCAAACTCTGCACGAATGCGGCTGGCACCATCATGATGGTGCCTGCGTCATTATGATGCGGCCTGCATCATCATGATGCGGCCTGCATTGCGGCCTGCATCAATATGATGCAGCCTGCATCAAATTATGATGCGGCCTACGTCATTATGATGCGGCCTGCATCATTATGGCGCGGCGTGCGGCATTATGATGTGACCCGCATTATGCGCGTACAGTCATGCATCTCTGTTTGTGTCCTGCATCCTTGGCGGCCTGCCTGTGTCGTCATGACGCTGCGTGCGCTTTTTTATTGCGGCCTGCGTCCGGATGGCGCGGCCTGCATCATTATGACGTTGCTTGCTTCATCATCTTGGTGCTGCCTGCATTGTCATGATGCTGCCCGCATGCTCATCGTGCGCCGCCTTGATCCTGACTCCAAACAGCAGCAAGCAGCCTGGCGCCCTGCGTTGATATTTGAACTCAAGAAGCAATGTGTTCGGTAGGCCTTACAGAAGCGCAATGTTCCGACTTGACAACTAGCCAACTAGCCGAATGCCTAGAAAGTCACACCTTATGAACGCACTTCGCGACGTAGTGTTTGCTCGCAGGTGCTGCCGCCTGCATTGCCCTCTCATCAAAATGACGCCTGTGTCATCACAAAGCTGGCGTCATCACGATGCCGTCTGCGTCACCAAGATGCTGCGTGCACAAGCGCATGCTGCTAGCGTGATTTATTGTCTGAACATTGTGCCGTTCGCATCATGGTTACCAGCCTGTGCGATAATGGTGATGAGGATGACGATGATGATCACGATGATGATGATGAGGATGACGATGATTATCACGATGATGATGCTGCTTGCATCATTATGATACGGCCTGCGCTATGCCATGTTTCCTGCAGTGTTCCTCCTTCATTAGCGGGCTGTTGGCGTCAGCATGACGCTGCCTGAGTTGTCGCATTGCCGCTTGCCAATTACATTTTGGCTAAGCGTTCCGCATTAGTATACCAAGGCGTGATGCTGCCTGCATTCTCATGTCGCTGCCTATGCGCTCACCTGTGCTGCTTGCATCTGGATGTTGCAGTCTGCATCATGGTGGTGCCGCCTGCGTGAGCTTGATGCAATCATCCTAATGCTGCATCACCATGTCGCAGCCTGCTGAACTCTTTTTAAGTAGCGCCTGCATCATCATGATGCTGCGTGCATGATCATGGTTCATGTTTTGATGCCGTGCGTTAGCGTTCGGCTGCATCATCATGATGCGGCCTGCCTTAGCACACGTAAAGCTGCCAGCATCATGATCATACAGCTTGCATCATCATGATGGTGCATGCACCATCATGATGCGGCCTGCATCATTACGATGCAGCCAAGCAGCTAGACTGAGCCGAGCGCTGCAACAAACGACGCGCGGCTGTTTGGGTCCACGCTGGTATGTGTTGTTTCCGGTTGCCAGGCAATCCGAGTTAAAGCGATAGACTGGTCATGGTGGATGGGAATCAACCACTTTGGTATCACAGAACACGTCTCATGTGCGCCTTTGATACTACAGCTTGTCATTTGTTTCCGAAATCCCTCTCCATCAAAAATAGATGACCCCCCCCCAAGTATAGAGATGTGCTTTCAACATTGCAATTTCCGAGTAAGGAATTTGACTAGCAGAAATCAAGGCCTTTGTCCGGATTTGTGCTGGTGCTGAATTGCTTGAAAGATCCTTTGAGTATCGCTCTAGTCTTTGGTTTAGCATTGGCGTATCATTGATTTAGTACGGGCTTCGCCTTGTTTCAAAGTGTCCCCCTAATAGTTAGGAGCCGGGTTCGACGGGAGATCTTCAGGTTTGGATTTGCTTCAGTATTGGTTTGTTCTAGTTCAGCATTTGGGAGAATTGGGACCGGGCAAACGTTAATATTAAGAGGGTATATTCATCAATAGAAAGAAGGGATTACTTTTACTTGTGGCCCGAAGCCATTGACTCTTGTCTGTGTCATGCGTTCGGACGGTGCCGCAGAAGTTGCTTCACATTGTAAACGTCCACCACCTGCCTACTCCCTACTCCAAATACCCTCTTCTTTCAGGGTATCATGTCGACCCTCTACTAAAAAAGGAGGTATTTACCCTTGAAAACCCGGTTTTCCCAAAATGCCCCGAAAAAAAGGCGGGTATTTGAGTAGGGGGTAGTCTCTATCGTTTAGTTCCTTGTTTCACAATTGTTCGGCAAGAGTTTTAAGGGTCGAAGCACATTTTGTGCCCACTCCTGGTTCTGGGACGCGTTCACCACCATATCAATGTGTGTGGCGAGTGCATGTTGTTTTTCTTCTCCGAAGGGGGGCAAGGTCGCTCAATACACCGACTTGTCTGCTTCGGGGCATTGGCAAAAGCATGTTTGGTTTGGTTTCGTTTTTTGTCTGAAGGCCAAACTGACAACTCGAGCCCTGGCAGCAAGCTGATGCATCCGCAGGCCGTATCATGGATGGAGAGATAGGGTCATGCAGGACATGGCTGCGCATGTAACTCCAGCTGCATTCGGCGAACACCATCGTACACCGAATCGAGGTAAGGGGGTGTTCAGAAACCCCAAACCACTACTCTCAAAGGAAAAAAACACAGTAAAGTAGAGACTTTACCCGGTATGACGGGACCTGGAGTAGTTCGTACAATGACTATGTAACCACTACGCAAAGGAAGATAAGCTCCAAGGCAAGCCATGTGCTTGCTTGGTAAAGGAAAAAAGGTCTTGTTCAATAATGGAATTATAGCCATGCAGACACGCTTCAAACGGTATGTGCACCGTATTTCCTTGAGGCCTGGATGCGAAATTGTTTTGTTTCTTGCTTGATGTTGCTCCTAATTTCAGCACTTGGCACCTTTTTGCGCCACAAAAGCTGCTTCATGTTTTTCTCTTTCTGTTCCCCTTCTCTCTTCTTTCCCTTCTTTCCTCTTGTTCTTTTTCCCCACTTTTGGTCCGTGTCCCGTCTTTCCCCTTGGTTTCTTCTTGGCGCCGCCCCGTGTTTTTTTTTCCGCGTTTCCTCGCGTTTCCCTCCCCCCCCCCCGTCGGTTTCGCCCCACTCAACCGCGGACCTCGGGTCAGGTGGCGCGCAAAGAGCTGCGGGCGCTGGCCGTGCAGCTGGCTGCGACGGGCGAGGACCTGACGAAGACCGCCAGGCGCGGCGGAGCGTTCAGCGCGTGCGCGAGAGAGAGGCGGACGAGGAAGCTGCCCCAGAAATTGGTTCCCCTGTTGTTCTTGTCTTTTTTTAATTATGATGTTCTTTTTGTTCTTCGCTTTTTTGGGGTTCCCTTTGTTTTCCACTACCGGGCCAAAACATGTCATTTTGTTTGCTGGGGTCAAAATTCCACCCAAGGTAGGACAGGGCTCCCTATATTTCCGTTGTTTGGTGGTTTTTGACAGCGGCCCTTTTAGGCCAATTTACAAGGATCTTCCTTTTTGGTGGGGTGATGATTAAATGGGAAGTAGGAGGCAGCGGCTGTGATGTGTTTTTTTGCGCTTACCAGCTGAAGACCGGTGCCAGGCATGACACGCTCGCGTTTTCCTCTTCCTTGGCCTGCAGCAAAGCCTGCCAAAGAGTTTGCACTCTGCAGGGGGCAAGTTCTTTGCATCCATCCCCCAAGCATTCTTGAGGTCATGGGGATGGCCAGGGGTTGGGAAACCGAGAAGAGTTGATCTTCAGCAGATGGTCAAGGGCAGTGGGTGTGATCTTTGTTGGGTTGTGGCTAGTTCGGAGGGGATCTTTGGACTTTGACTGTTTGGTTGAAGCAGCTTAGATTTAACTTTTTGGGCCCACAAAAAGTTGAAGGGTTTTTGCAGAGGGGTTTGCAGCAGCCAAGCAATGGGTGTGATTTTAGGGGTTGGAACCACCTGAAGTCGATTTTGGGGATACAACTAGTTGAGTGTTTGAAACCCCAAAAGGGCCGTTTCAGAAGGTGGTTCTACCTTGGGGTCGGGGCTACTCTTCGGGGGGGGGGGGGGTTCGATCTCGCTTGCGAATGTGTGGAGTAGGTGGTTCTACCCGCAGCAAGGGCGACATGAACCTTTATAGGCATGGTGTTAAACATTTACAGCGTTTAATGCGGAACCACCTGAAAAGTGGTTGGAAGACAGATATATATATATATATATATATATATTTGGGGTGGTGCTTAAAACTAGGGTCATTTCCAGGTAGCTGTTTTTTGTTTGGGATAGATGAAATTCACTGGGCGAACTGCTTGTGGCTTCAGCCTGGTGACCAAGCATACCACCTGGACGTGAATGTTATAGGACATCACCTGAAACGTGGTGTGAAACGTGGTGTGTCTCTTTTCTTGAGGGTACCGCGGAAACAAAAGGAACCACTTTAAGGTGGGTGTATGCTAAATTATGTTTATCAAGAGTCCCCCAAGTTAAAATCATGCCCTGGGTTGGTGTTCAAAATGGTGGACCCTTCAAATGGTTTTCTTTCGGTTGGTTCCCCTTTGATGCAAGTCACAAGGATGCCCCTGAAAAGGGCACGCGCATATACAAATATGGGTGTATCTTTCTTTCAGGGTACGCCCGTTTGGGTGGTTTTAAAGGAGAACTTGCAGGAAAACATAGAAAAACATATTCTTGGGTTCCCTAAAAACGACACCCATATAGAACATGTTTAGCAAGTTATTGATTTATGAATTTTGCTTGACACTGAAACACCCAAAGACTGCTAAGGAACTGGCAAAGACAACGTGTTTCTGACCATGAGGGATCAAGGTAGTTGGCAGTGAGCGAGGTCACAAGAGGGGAGCTGACTTCCTTAATAGTATGGTGTGTGGGAAACATACTGTGGATGGACGAAATCCATGGAAAACATGGTTGAAACCATTGTTTGTTGGTATTTGCAGGGGAATCATTCTTCCAGGGTTTCTTAGGTGGTGCAGGATTTTGTCCATCCACAGTAAGGGAGTATTCCTGACCCATGCTGCAGACCATGTTCTAAGAACCCTGAAGCCTACGCCGGATAAAAGCAGCATTCATGGGATGGGATGGGGGCTCAAAAGGCATCTAAAAGGTATGTTGGGGAGTTCTTGGCCATGGTGAATTACTGTTTCAAGTTTTGGGGGGCCCGGGCCCCCCAAAAATATAGCTGTCCTTTGGCCTTTGAAACCAAACTTCAACTAGGCACCCTCCAGATTTGGAGACGATCACCGGGGGTTGGGATGTTACTTTTGGTTTCCCTTTAAAACCACAAATTCAAGGGTGGTTTCAAGCATTGTCAATGTTCAAGTGAGATTACTGTTTCGTCAACTTGCTGGTTCTCAGTAGGGAGTCAAGATGGGTTTTAGGAATATCACGAGGGGTTTCGGACTGAACCGTTTGGGATGCCCTAGGAAACCACCGGTTGATTGGTTCATACTGTGGATGGACGAAATCCTGCACCACTTTGAAACCACGGTTGAAACCACTGTTTGTTGGTATTTACGTTGGGGAATCGTCAGAAACCAGGGCTTCTTAGGTGGTGCGAGATGGATTTCGTCCATCCACAGGGGCCCTTCCCAGCGTTCCAGAGCCGCTCTCGAAAACTCCGCTCGATCGCAGTCGCCTCGACCTGGCGCACGAGTATTGGAACGGCTTCAGCCGGGGCCTGCAGGAGCCAAGTTACTCCAGAAATATCTTCCAATTCCATTTCCAGGGATCCGAATCTTTGCAGGAAATCCAAAAACCAGGGAAAAAGACGCTGGTTGGTTGAAAAGAACGATGGTTGTAAAGAATGGGGAATCGACCCCTAGAGCTACAGTTGGTTTCACTTCAGGCTTCCTTTTGTGGGTTTGGGCTGTGAAATCACCAAAAAAAGCACTTTCAGGATAGCTTTCTTCTAACGCGGGTCCAGAACCTCCAGCGTATGACGGTTTAGTCTTGGTGGTTGCAGTTGGGTTCACTTGAACCTGCGGTGAGTTGCGACGGTGAAATTACGTTTGGTTGTCCATATGGTCTCCCTTCAATTAGTGTTCTGTCGGTTCTTTGTGTGTTCCCTTCGGTCTTCGCGTTGGTTTCCCTCTCACTTCACTCCACGTGGAACCCTGAAAACACAGCCTACCAATTTGCGCTGGCTCTGATGTTGGAGGTTTCCTTGGACTTGGGTTTGGTTTCAAATGATTTTGGGTTTGTGGCCTATGACTCGTTGAAGTCGTAGGGAAGGACCTCCTATGGCTGCCCTTCGAGTAGGCCTGGTGGACCTAGGCGGATTGAGCCAGTCCCATCTTGGGTCGATGTTTGGAGTCATCGCCTCAGTGCCCAGAGGCACCTCTTGGATGCTAGGTTGCCTCCTTTGCACTTCATGTAGAAAGGATTGGTGGCACAGGTGTTGCGAGCGCCCAATGGTTGAAAGTTTCAGATTTGAGGTTGTGTGCATGCGGTGTGTTGTGCCAGCAGCCAGCAAAGCTCAGCAAGGCCCACCAACTCAGCAGGTGGATCCGGTTTTCGCCATTGCAATGGGTGCCTTCTCTTTTTCGGGCAGGCCACAAGGTTGAGATGCGTGACATGTTCAGGACACAGAGCAGGTGGTATTCGAGGGCAAGTCGGGCATGCTTCAGCAGAAGATCGTACTCCCGGCGGATTGAGTGCGCAGCGATGAAGTGCGTTTCTTTGCCACGAGTCGAGGAATCTCCATTGCATATTGGGGGCAAACCCATATTTGGGTATGGGTCAAAATTAAACCACCAGGAATTGGACCGCAGGTTTTAGTCTTTGTTTCCATTTGCCAGGGCAACCCCTTCTGGGCTTTCCCAATTTTTGACAACCACAGCCATTTGAGGTTTTCCTTGGCCAAAGCACGCGGGGGAAGTGAGAGGAAGCTCCGACAGCACCAGGCCTAAGCCGCTCTGGCCGGTGAAGCCATTGACTTAGGAGTCTGCCAAATGGCTGTGGTTGTCACAAATAGGGTAACCCCAAAATGGGTTGCCCTGGTAAGTGGAAACATGGACCAAAGAAAATCTGCGGTCCAATTCCTGTTGGTTTGATTTTTACCCACGCCCAAATCACGTTGCGGCTGTCGCGGGCGCGTTTTGGGGAGCAAAGAGTGCTTGCCTTTCACTAGCAGCGCCATCAACCTGTCAGAGTCAGATATGCCTGGTTGACGTACGAACATGTTTTGCGAAATCAAACTTACCCGTTTAGTCAGCTATGCCTGGTTGGTGTTCGAACATAACACTCAAATTAAATGCTAGGTTTGGATTCTGGATCCTTGGATTGCTTGCTCCAGGGGGGTTGCAGGACCCCTTTGTTTTGCGCTGGCCGGGTTCGATGACCTGCGATGCCAGGAAGCCTTGCGACCACGAGTGTTGCCCTCACTGCCGCCCTCGCCATTGCTGACCAGGCCGGGCACACACTGCTTGTTCAAAGCTGCGTAGCTTTTGAGATGTTGGTTTCCTTTCTTGTCCACTTTTAGTTATGCCCAACTAGGTCCCCCAGTAGTGCCCTTGTACCCTTTTTTGGGGAGGGTTCCCCTACTAAAATAGAAAACAGGAAAAAAGGGTACCCTTATTCTAGCCTCTCTACTGGAGGACCTAGCCAAGGTTAACCTTACACAAGTGAGGATTGGTGCGCCGATATTTGATTGTTTGTTTCGTTGATTTGAAGAGCAGTCTGAGAGAAGAAAACATTTGGGTGGCACCTACATGAACATGCCACAACACGACTCTCGTGTTCCCATCGTCTAAAGAGAAAGATAAGGACGATCCAGAGGCAAGGATTCCTGTTGCGCATCCCATGCTGTGAATTACAAAGGGAGTCTTGAGAATGTGTCGAGTCAAAAGTACTTGTGTGCTTCCCAATGACTTGTCTGCTTCCTCGGAGGTCCTTCTCATGCAATCTTGACATGGGACTCCTAGACACATCCGCATATAATCAAGAGGTGCTTGCAGGGGTTGCAGTGCATTGTGTGGTTTGTTGAGATTTGGTCACTTGTGTTATGCATCTTGGGCGTGGGTCACATTGTTTCTTTAACACCGCTGTAGATCTTCCGGTTGATTTGATTGCGAAACCCCGCTAGGTGGCTCGATGTGCACATTGGGATCGCGCATATGTCTCTGCGCGCAGACATATACAACATACAAGTCTTCCTGAACCCTCAAAATTCCCTTAAAAATAGGTTTGACCCCCAAAATTATGGAGTGATATCCCATTTTTATGGGTAGTTTGAGGGTCCAGGTTTCTGTTTGAAGAGGGGAAGCTGACAGCGCTGGTTAATATAGAGTTCTTCGGCTGGGCAAAATGAAGCCAGTTCCCAGTCAAGGGTGTCCTGAACATGTGGGCACCGAAGACCGAGAAACGTGTTCTCGGATTGCCATTCAACCCCAGGCGATGCTCCAAAAACTACCCAGAAAAGTGTTGCAACTCGTGCTTTGCGGCATGCGTTTCGCAATCAAATGACAACAGAACATGCCTTTCTGACTCGACCAGTCACTTTGCTCAAATGATAGCATCTCATATTGCGTTATGAATGCATTGATTATTTATTGTGATGCTGCTGCACCTTTCTTTCCCAGCATTGGACATCATACTAGCGACAATGTTCTGGCGGAGACGAGTTGCGTTTGAAATCTACAACAATGGCAAGTTCGAAGTTCAGTAGTCCGAATGGCCTCACCAATCAGAAGAGTCGCTGCAAAATAGGCAAATCGTTGGAGACACATATCTGATTTATTTGGGAGTTGTTGTTCTGAGAGGACGAGGAAACAGAGCTCGATGTGCCACGAGCACTTGTGCTATCGCCAGGCCGCATTCCACCCTCGTTGGCCAGCGCGTTGACAGCGCCATGGACACAGGTGATGCGCTCAGTCCTTTACAGCTCAAAGTGGCGGTGTCGAGACATGTTTGCTTTGCTATTGTTCTTGGGCCAGCGACGCCTGTGCTGGCACTGTGTGTGTGTGTGCCCGTGTGTGTGGTGGTGATTACTTTGTCAAATGAAGCCGAGTTTGTTGTTCGCAAAAAAGAGGACGGTATGATTTCGCCCGGGGTTGTTGGTGCTTGTTGCCCATCAAGAACTCCGGGTGTCTATTTGCGCGTCAGATCTTATGAGCTTTGATTGTAATTAACAGACTTGGTCTTGACCCGTTCAAGTTGGGCCTCAGCCGGGATATAGTTGCGTCAAGTGGCTATGTGATTCTCTGCTCAATAAAAGCGAGTAACGCGTTGCGCTTGTGTTGACGCAACCCTTTTTGGTGGGTGCCACTTGTGCTGCGCGTGAAGGCACAAAGGGCCAAAGATAAACATAATTCTTTGAATTTTGGCAGCCTCATGTGGGGGAGGCGCGGAAGGTTGGGGAAGGTGCATTCGATCGAGGTATTGAGATTGACTCTACCTGGATGCCTCGGGAGAAAAACAGTTCCCTTCGCTTCCGCGAAGCATTCCTCCGCTATTGTTTGTTATTGTATTTATTTATTTTTTTGGGGGGTGGACACATTTGGACGCCATAGGGCCATATGGAAACGAGAGTTCCCATGCCACAGTGTCACGTAGCAGTTTGGCCAAGGACCCGATAGAAAGGCGGGCCAAGGGCGGACAAGGGTTGACATATGGGTATGGGTCAAAGTTGATCCAGAGACCGCAGGGTTTAGTCCCTTTTTCCCATTTGCCTGGCTTTCATTTTGGGTACCTTTCTTTGACCCACACGCGTATTCCCTTTCAACGCCCAGAGCCGTGACTGAAGTAATGAGAAGCCACTGATTAAAAACTCCTGATTGATGAGTAGGGTATGGAAATCCTTCAATTGGGCAAGTACCCCGCGGAATCCACCGATGACTCCCCCACAAAGGAACGGAAGGAATCCATCAAAGGAATCCCCCCATTTGGGGAGTTTCCCCTACAGACGGTGGTTCATGCCCCCAAATTCGACATTCGAACGATGAAGCGAGCTGCCTGCTGCAGATCCCTAGGGACCAATTTCAAATTGATGAGTTTTGTTTTTATCCCCGGACGCATAAACTGTGGTTGGTTAATTGGGGGCTGTTTCCTTTCGGTGGGAATTCGGATCACTTTTGTGTTTGCCACCCTCCGACTAGTAGGAATTTGAACATCATCATGACGAAATGCTTTCTGGTCACCAGATATCTCATCGACTTATCATTTGAGTCACAATCAAAACCTGGGTAGATGAAGGTGAGCAAGGGACGATCCCAACCAGACATAGCTGCGGATATCCGCCTTCTATTTTGTTTTACATGGTTCTGGGTAGACCAGTTCAATACAACTGCATCTTCTTCGCTTACCCGACGAGCACCAATCAGTGAGATGATGCATGTCAGGAACATGGCGCTTTCAGAAGTGGCTGAATGTCATTTTGTCGGACGTCAAGCCTTGACATCATGGTCTCCTCAGTGGCCCAATGCCGACCTTTGCTTTGGTGCATTTTGCTTGGATGTTAGGACTTGATTTGTGTTGCTAACTAATGGGTTTTCCATTAAACCTCTAGAAATTGTACTTTTAGCAGGGGAGCAGAAAGCAACCGAGTTTTGACCTTGTAGTCGTCCCGTGTTTGTCCATTGTTCGTCATGGCCCCCAAAAGGTCAGCCAGTTATTTCTGGGTCCTTTGGGCACGAGAGTTTCTGCAAGGGGCAATCCCCAATCAATTGCTTAGGCGAGCTCAAGAGGCCGGCCACGTCTCAGACATAGGCATAGGCGGGAGAGGGGGAAAAGGCCGCGGGGTGCAGCCTTACCTGGGTTTGTCGTTAAATCGGGGAACCCAGTGGAATCCTTGTAGTTGCCTTAAACAAGCAACCCAAAGGGGCTTCCTCAAGAAATTACACACCCACGTGACCCAATGGATTTTCGGGAGTGAAAGTGTCTTGGGTCGGGCTCCCACAGACGTTCACGGTCCCAAGATGAGGGAGGGAAGGCGAGCAGCCAAGACTCAGAGCTTGCTTGTCAATACAGACCAAGCCGGAAGCCGGGGACCCCAAGAAAAACATCCGCGACATGGGGCATTGTTTCGTTTTGCACAGAACCCCCTCCCCTGGCCGTTTAGGCAAAGATTGCTACGGGACTTGTGCCCTTGACCTTGAGATAATAGGAGCCCAAGCGCATTGACAGGTGGCTTGTTGTCTTGCTTTTGCTCCAAGCAAAATATTGCATATGTCACTTCTTGGAGAATTGAGTGATGGTGCTGGATTTTCTATCCTTTGGCGTGAGAAAATTGGAGCCCGTTTTGCTGTACCAATGATTGCTGGTGCAATGGGCTTATGCCTAGTGTCTCACCTTGATCGGCAGGTGCGTCTTAGCTTCATGGGCGAACCACATGGTTTGGGTCAATGAATCTGCTTACGCACCCTGTTTGGGACTTGTATGGATAGGATAAGGGTTGATTTTCAGGGAAGCATGATAGTGTGAGCCTCCGTCACACATGTGCTGACACTATAGTGGCAGGCAGCTTGCTTTGCCTACAGAGTTAATTATGCTCTTGGTGTGTGTGTGTGTGATTTACGATGTCCACAGGTGATATGTTTGAGAGGAAGGTTTCGACTTGCGCAAGTTGTTTCGGCTTGTTTCTGAGCACGTTGACAGGTTGGCGAATTTGCGACTAGCTTGGCATGGAATCCTTGCATTCCGTATGTAAGTACACCGGGCTTTTCGCTGGGTTGTTCAATCCTTAATTCTTGTGCCACTTGCGCAAACCGCTCAATTTCCAATCATGTGAATGCAACGGCTGCATTACTAATGACTTCTTTCGCGGAGGTTGCTTAATGAAAACGCATCATAATGGCACGCCCCGTTTTAAGCATAGGCTTTGCGTGTCCTGCCGCGATCATGTCGGTTGGCAGGAAGCCATTTGCAGCCCAGAATTTTTCCATTTGACCTAAGGGCCGGTTTGGAACTGGGTACATTCAAGTCAACATTTCAAGGGTTGTGCAAACACCTTTTGGGATGTCACTGTCATAACTCGGTAGTAGAATCTTCTCGTCAAGGGGTGTCTATTTGTGTGTTGATTTGTTTCTGGACAAATGCCGATGCGATCTCACACAAAATCGGTGTTTGGCGATCAAAACCCATGAAGGTTCCCGAGCTCAAGCTTCTTGCAGCTTGAGTTTTTCTTTTGATCTGTGTTTTTTGAAACCGCGCCTGTGAAAAAAGACATGGATCCCCTCTCTCATTTAACTTGCCAGTTCCCACCCAGAGATGTTTTTCACGTTTAGAGTGAGTCGCATTCATGCCACCAACTGATGCACAGGCAAGATTGTGCGCACCTTTTTCAGGGCATCCTTTTTGGGATGGGAAAGGGAAACCAAAAGGAGAATCCCATCTTTGAGGGTCGCCCCCTGTTCTTGACTGCTATTGGGTTGGATCTGTAGGCTTTAACTTTTTGGTTGAAATAAAGGTGTTTTCCACTAAACCCCCCAAATGTCAAAAACTTTTCGAGGGTTTGCTTGTTCTTCAGGGGGTCAACAGGCAAACCGTGTCCACATGTCCTTACCATGCATGTGAGGGTCGCCCGAAGCTTCCTCTTTGCTGCGGGGCAGGCGCGCCGCGTCCACGTGTCCTGCGCCAGGCCGTTGTGAGCCTCCGTGGCACCCGATGTCCCATTTGCCGGCTCCGGTGAAGGATGCCTTTGGATCGCTCAAAGACTTTGGCTTGGGCCATGTCAGCGGCAAAAGTGAAGATTGAACTTTCTGTGAAAATGCTTGGCTTGGACCATGTGGCAAAAGTCAAGATTGAGCTTTCTGCCCACTCAAGTGAGTTGGTGGAACTTTCTGTCAAATAGGTTGGTTGTTTTCTGGTTCTTCCGTCCTTGGGATCCTTCCTCTCGGACAGTGGCCGAACCGTTTCGAAACGGGTTCGGAACGGCTGACTTCCACGAAAAGATGGGATCGAGCCCAACGGGGACCTTTTGGTGTTCAGAGCTTTTTGAGCATCTTGCAAAGAGTGATGATGGAAGACATGGCTGTGACTCTTTTGACAGTGTACCATCGTTTGGACAAAGAAAGGTGCAACGATGGTCTGCATCTGACGTGCTGGAAAGGAGTCTGACACCTGAGCCGGCCATACCATGCAGCCTGAAGCTGAAAGATGGCTTCTTTCGAGCTGTGCCCTGAAACTAGGTCAACCACTACGGGGTGCTGTAGGCATGCATAGCCACACAAGCCACACAGCTTCTGTTTGTGTTTTAGTTTGCTTGCACACAGCCGTCGGCAGGAGACAGCATTGACCTGGATCCATTCGATGCACAATGCATGGTTTGAGGTCGGGAAATCCTCTCAAAGCTGGCAGCCGTGACATGTACATTGTAGGCAGCAAGGTTTGCTGGGATATTGATATGACCAAATATCTCATGGATATGGCCAGAATCTAAGCAGCATATCGTTAGTTGAGGGAGTCAAAAGCTATGGCAGTTTAGCTAAGGTCGACATGAAGCATGCAACATCTAGATGCCTCTCATCACCACCGCAGTGAGAGCCACTTCCAAGAAGTGTGCGTTGCATGGGGTTGAGATCCAGGGTTGGGCGATTTAAGCACCAATGGTCTAAAGCAAGCTCATGGTGATTTTTATTTTAATAAAAACAGAGCATAATTGTTCAAACAGACTTTTGCCCAACCCTGATCAGAGCCCTTTGCATGAGTGAATTTATGATAAAAAGACCGAGCGCAAGTGACTGAAGCAATTGTCAGACATATGTCCTCCTGCCGGCTGCGAATCCAAGATGATGATATTTGGTCCTTGTCCCCACGTTGACCGTTCACACCCGACCCTTTGAGCGGTTAGGCTGGGGTTTCCTCCATTTCCAGTGTTGGAGCCTCCAAGAGACAAGTTCCAATGGAAGTCACCAGTAGATCGCATCATTTGAAGGGGAAATCCAGCGACTGGTCGGCAGTTTGACAATTTGAGGCCCGGCTGAGTGCGGTGGCAGGCAGTAGCGCAGGCCTCAGATCTTTGGCTGGACCCGAGTTCGGTAGCACCATAGGGATGTGTACTTCCTTCATTTTGCTTTGGGTGGGGTGGGGTTACATGGAGAAAGTTCGATTTTGAAAATCCAAGTTCGCAGTTGCTCATGTGGGCGTGGGTCAAAATTAAACCACCAGGGGACCACAGGTGTTGGTCAATGTTGCCACTTACCAGGGTTCCATTTTGGGTACCTATTTTTGCCCCACAGCAATGTGTTTTCTTTCTTGCTGAGCAGCGCCCCAAGCAAATGGCCATTTGAGGGGATCTGCTTGGTTCAATAGAAATGAGGATTGCTGTAAGGCCTGTAAAAAAAAGAAGAAAAACACAATGGGTGTAGGGATGAGGATTGCTGCAAGGCCTGTAAAAAAATATATATATATATATGTATATATATATAAGGCATCCTGGCAATGGGTGGACACCCCCAGACCCTTGCACTGCAAGAGCGGGCAAGCTGGCGACAGGCTCTGTAATTTGAAGAAGCCAAGTGTCCTTACGTTCTCAAACTGGTTAGGTCCCCATGTTGGTTGCCATGTTCGCTTGAAAGGGACCGAAAGGGTGACCTACATGCGCACGGAGTGCAAATCCAGCAGAGGGCAAACAAAACAAGTCGACGGTGTTGTCCAATGGTTTGGATTCCTTGTTTTTCTTGGGATGCATTTGAAATTCCCGAAACCGGAATCTGTTGGGATAGACCCACTGAGGTGCCGCGACCGAGGCGTGGGAGCCGGCCTCGGGAGTGAAGAGTCAAAATGGTTGCCTTGAGCTCTGAAATGGACTAAGAACCAAAAGGAAGCCAGAGGGGAGGTAACCAACAGGAGTTGATCCGTTTGAGGGACTCAGGGACTGTAAGGGGAACCAAAAGGAAGCAGGAGTTGATCCGTTTGAGTTTTGGGAGGATTGTGGACGCCGTTTTTGGGACCCAGAAGAAAGCCAACCAGCCGCTAATGGGACTTGCCTGTTTACGGTTGTCTCCCCGCTTCAGGCATCAAAGCGATTTACCGGCTGCATCCCCTTGCGTCAGGCATGGATGGTTTAATGCAGTGGCTGTGGTGGTAGTACACTTCGATGCATGTATTGTCATGTCGCCGACATTCATGGTGACGGCAGACAGATTTTTGCACGGTCATATGTGGGCATGTGCATAAAATGTACATGTTACACGAGATACATTCCTTCTCATGGTGCAAGTGCTGGTCCGACTCTCGCCTGAGGGCAATCTGGAGGGGCCAGAGACCTACGAGGCCTATGAGGACTGGCCAAGCGTGCGGGAAACGGCTCGACAGGGTCTTTTCATCGTCCAATAATAATGTGGCTGTGTTTTATTCTTTTGGAGGTCCAAACCCTAAGCGAGATCTCGCTCAGGAGGTGCCGCTCGACGACCAGTATGCCGAGGAGCCATGAGACCATTCCGCCAGAGGTGATTCTGGGCTGTCTCTCCGGATGGCTCCATCCATTTGGCACCCTGCTTTCAAGTTTACAAAAAGATGGTTCATATCTCTATATTAAATGATAACAACATCATTGACATTGATTGTGTTCGGAATACATCATTGTTTCTTGGTGACAAAGATTAATTATTCTCATGTGGTGACAATAAATCTGGTGTATGTGTATATATATATATATGCATGTGTGTCTTTTTACCAACAAGTGGACAGCCAGCTTTCTGCGAAGGTGTCAACACTCTTTGATCCTCAGCTGAAGGTAGCCTCCAGGTGCCTAACATAGGAGGAAGTGTTGCCAACATAAAGCGTCGGTCGGACATGTGACCAAACACCCATGAAGGTTCTTGCATCGAGGTTTGATGGTTTTCGGCCACCGGTCACGGAGTCGTTTCCACTCACATTGATCTATGCCGTTCAAAGGAACGCAGCCTGGGCCTCTACCCCCCTTTGTCAACTCCGGTCCCAGTGCTTGTTGCCCAAAAAGGAGGCTTAAATGTGAAACCTTGGCTGCATCTTAGCTTTCATGTTGCAAGGAATTCATGGGACGCCAAAAAAGCAAGTTCAGCTCAGCATCCCATGGCATCCCTTGGCATCGCCGGGACATGTTTGACCTCCACCTCTGAAATCCTTCGAAAAGCGTCCCCAGGAGCCTATTGCAACCACTTCTCCGCGGTTTATAGCCCCAAAACGTTGCTTTAGCAACCAAAACGGGCTCACACTTCCGGCCCTTCTCTTGAAACTATGCACCGAAGGCCTAGGAAGAATGGGTTGTGTGCAGAGAACGATGGTTGAAGATGGGGAATCAGCCTGACCCGTACATCATGTATCATGGTGTTGTCGCTTTTGCTTGTTCCAGAGCTTTGTTCAGTTACTTTCAAAACTCAAACCAAATCCTGCACACGTCGTGATGCAGTGCGCAAAGAACTGGGTGTCTTTTTTTGGCAATCGGTGATGCTGGAATCTGAGAAGGACACCATCTTCCGCTGTTTGGATCAGAAAGGTGCGTGTTTCTTGGGGAGATCCCAATGGCAGACTGGGGAGACCTCGCCCAAAATCGGCTTCGGAGGACGAGGTGGACCTCGACGACCAAGAATACGCCGAGGAGATATCAGCGGCTGAATCTGGGGGTTGTACACCCGGGAATAACCACAATAGCCATATCTACCAAGGGGTACAGAAGTGTCCAAGCATGGTAGGCCTGTCCATGATTGAAGGCTGGCAGCTAGGGACTATATAAGCCTTTATGACCTCTACCAGGTATGTCTGTTGACCCATGAAGGCCCCCCGTAGCCATACTTGAGATAACAGCAAGCACCTGGGAGCTTGCTGCCGGATTTGTCCTAGTGCCCAAGCCTGAAAGCCATGGTTTGCCCGTCCTCGTGAAGGTATGGGGGTGAGACACCTGCGCTCGGTATGGCCATGGGATTCCCATCTCAAGCCAAAACCTTGACTGCTATTGGGTTGGATCTTGAGACTTGAAAACTTTTTGGTTGAAATAAAGGTGTTTTCTACGAACCCCCCCAAAAAGTGAAACACTTTTTGCAGCGGGGTCGTTGCAGCAACCAAGAAAGGTTCTCAAGTTGCGCCGGCATCAATCCCAGTATGCGATGCGCAAGAGGTTGCTGGTTAACATGGAATGGGGGGGTCCAATAAAGGTGCCAATTATCAAGAGAGGCGGAAAGGATATTCATCATGGGCTCCTCGGCATACTTTTGCCCCCCTTGTTGACCAATAGGCGAGTTCTAATTGGACGCGCTCCAGAGCAATTGCGGGACACGCCCCCTCAAACTCAATGTTTAATCATCCAACTCTAAGGGGATTCAAAAGGAGTTTGTTTAAGCGGTGGGTGTTGCAGTCTGCGCAGCGAATTGGCCCGACTCGGGGCTGAATCGTGTCCATAAATGAGGAGCTTGATGTTTTGAAATCCGCAACGATGGATTTCGACACGACGCCAGGAATGGGAATTCGCCAATTGAGGATCGAGTGCTCAAAATGTGCGGGGTGGTTCTTCAGGTGTTCACCCCCCTTAGAACTATCCAACAAGGGGACGCTTATTTTGTGGAAACGCGCGGGTTACTAGAGTGGAAAAATGTACGCTTTGGCTTTCCGCGTTCTCAGCACAAGTAACCCAGCATTACCAGCTGGTTTTTTGGGCCTTGTGGTTTCTTGGGCTCCCAGGTTCCCGTACGTGGCTCCAGCGTTCCGGACCTTTCCATTGACACTATTTCCACGTTAAGCCGCGCCGCGC